TTATTATATGTCATAAAATTATAAAAAAATCATTAAAAGGTAATAAAATATACAAAATAACACTATTAAAATTATTTAAAATAAACATTTAACTGATTTAACATCACAAAAAAAAATACTCAAATAATATAGGCACAGCCGAGAGAAAAAAGAAAATAGAAAAAAAAATAAAAGACAGAGAGAGACGGATCACTCGAAGACAGAGAGAGGGATCACTCATTATAAAAGAAAAAGATAACTCACTATATAAAAGAAAAAATAAAAGAAGAAAAACTAAAATCAAACAGAGAGGGTGAGAGAGAGAGAGAGAGAGAGAGAGCGACTGAGAGAGAGAAGAACGAAGAAGAAGAAGAAGAAGAATGAAGAAGAGCAATGTGTATCTTAACGAGCGACGACGAGACACGAGTTACGACCGACGAGGAGAGACGACCGACGAGAAGAGACGATCGACGAGGAGCGAAGACGAACGACGAGCGATAGGTCTCTCTCTCTCCCTTTCTCTTTTGTTCTCCCTTTCTATTCAGTTCGAATCGAGTTAGGGCAGATATTGCTCTGTTTTTACCTATTTACAAATCGCACTCCAAAAAGTTTTGTAAATTGTGAAATTACCCCCGAACATGTCCCAAAAGTGTCTATAACGTGTCCGGATGTAAAAAAAAAAAAATTTAAAAATGGGACACTCTCTGCTGCATGTCGGACACGTGTCCACCGCATATCCGACGCGTGTCCGTGTCCGACACATGTCCGACACTGGTACGAAGCCCTTGGAGAGGTGTCCGTGCTTCATAGTATTACACTTAAGAATTTAAGGTACTTCTAAAGTAATTTTCTTTTAACAATTAAGTATCCAATAAAAAATTTTCTTGTTCTTTCATGTAGCAAATCATTTCTATGAAAATTATGACCCATATTTGATTTTTTGTCTTGTCAAAACTTAATTTACTTTAAATTTTAGTTCATATATTTGATTTTTTTTTCTCCTAAAGGTAACATTTAAGGAAATGTATTGGAAAAAAATTTCAGGATCGCTTTAGATCACTAAATTTATCGTTTTGGAATGAAAATATACCATGTTTTGGAACGTGCGTACCAATACGTAATTCACTAGGATATTAGCATTTTCTGGTAACATAGGTTGTAAGTATATTTTCTTTTCTTATTATTTATTTTCCTCTCCAAGTAACCGTGAGCCGTGAGAGGGGGAGACAGAGAGTAGCAAAGAATTGAGGAGAATCGTTGAAGAAATCTGAGGGAAAGGAACTCTCATAAATAGGTAAACATTCTATGTATATTACTTTATGTATGTTGGTATGTCCCAGCCGTGGATTGACTCTGGGAGTTGGAAATGGTACCAAGGGGAGGGGTTAATATTCATCTAATATTTAATATTCACTGTTGATGTTATTTGCTATATAGTACAACCATGAATAGATGTGAAGGAAATATATCAAACGAACGAATTTTAAGTTGAAATTTTAACAGTAGCTTAATTACATATTGAATTTCATACCAAAATTTTCTTATAATTTTTGGGAGTCAAAAACTATATAAATTGATGCGTTCAAATCTGTCCAGAAAATTAGTACTAATAGTAACTTCGGAAGTGTCGTTCTCTTTGAGTATAAATCTGAAAATTATCAAATCAGTGTCATTAGAACCGGTTACGAGTCTAGTTTCTTACATTTTTGGCCTTGCATTGATTGCTCGTGTATATTAAGAGAACCGTCAATTTGTTTAAAGTGCTGCAGAAAGCGACCTGTTTGAATTGGGTTTGAAACTTAGGATATATTAGTTGATATCTGGAGGGTTTGGGAATTTTTTGAACAGCATGGAGTGGGTTTTTAATTTTCAAAGTTAGCGAATAGATTGAGAAAACCTGTTTAAAATTCTATTTTATCTCAAAGTCATATTTAATTAAGTTTTAATCTAAACCCATGTTTTGGGTAATTTTAGACCTTGAAGAACATGAACTTAGGTATTATTTAAGAGTAACGATGAGTTGGGTTGAGCCGTGTTAGTGCGCTTTAGCTTCGAGTTACTTAGTTACTTAGTTTCTTATTCTTTTTAGTATTTTTGAGTTACTAATGACATGTAGTTTTTGTACTTGGTTCAAGGCACTAGTTAAACTTTCCTATTTGGTTTGAGGATTATATTATACTGTGTTCAGGTAAGTAGTTGCATGCTACATATTTTTTTTATAAATGTTCCCCTACCCTGAATTATTAGAAAATTGAATTGTTGTTTCAGGACTAAACTGTTTTGATAAAATTATTATATTATCAATGGAATAAAATTATTTCTGAAACATGTGTAAACTTTGCATTCAATAAATTGTTTGAAATAGTCTTATGTTTATAATAGTGAACTATCATGTTTTGCGAAACTGAATTGTATTGATTATTGGGACCATCTATATATAAAAGTCCAGGAAATTTATTCTACTCTGTGTGGTGATTCTAGCCATTAGGGAACAAATCCGAGTTGGGCTGTGATGACTCTAGTGCTCAACAATTGTAAGGAAAAGACCCGGGCTAGGCTACGTGACCTTCAATCGGATCATCTTAGAGAAAAGGCCCGGATTGCCACCCCGAGGATGATTCTTGGTTCGATATTGGATCCAACAGGCTTATAGCCTTGAAAAGCTTGTGGCAACTTGTTAATCATGGTACCCAAATTATTGATGATCATCTTGTAATCTGTTTTAAGTTTAGAATGTCATTTGTTATGTTCTTGAGAGACATGAATATTTTTAACTGTTGAATTGTGGAATCTTCTTTTTGAAACAGATTGTCTTTATCAAAACTATATGCTAATCTAGTTTTTGTGATATATATCTTATTTTGGAATTGAACCCTGTTTTCAAAGCTATATTTACTATCCATGCTTCTACTCACTGAGTTATCAGCTGACTTAGTTGTTTATCATTTCAAAGTGATAGAAGGACTTAGAGTGGACTCATGACGTAGCGGGGACTCAATTGCATTGACCTCTAGGACATTCATTTTTTTTTCCCCAGATTGTTGTGTCAATTTTGTGCATACTTTTTGATTGAGATTCATTTAGAATTTTTTTGTTATGTGGACTGTTTGTGTCCCATTTGTTCGGATGATATTTATTGGGGTTGGTTTTGCCCGTTTATACTTGTGACATGTCACTGGATTGAGTTTTGATTTATTTATTTCTGAACTATTGTTACATTTATTCTATGTGATTATGGATTCATGTTTAGGCTTACATGTGCCTTGGGCTAAGGCCATGTGGTCCACGACCGGTCATGCCCGGGTTTGGGGTGTGACAAGTTGCTACTGGGATTTCTCACTATGTTGTTGACTCCTGAAGAGGTGAGATAATATATTCACTATCATTTTTAATGATAATTTTGTAACTGTAAAGGCCAAAGGTGAGCAAATCACTCCTACTAGATCAAAACCGAGAGAGAAGGTAGTATCTAGAGTGAGAGGCTCAACAATGGTGATTTTGGAAAAGTAAGAGAGAGAAGAGAAAGTGAAAAAGTAATTTGGAAAGTCACAATTTCGGGACTTAAACCCAGTCTCCCGCTCGAGCGTAAAACACCCCGCTCGAGCGGCCACTCATAGACTTCCGCTCGAGCGGCCAACCTCCCGCTCGAGCGCAGAATGCACTCTCCCAGCATTTCTGCAGAACCCGGCCTCCGCTCGAGCTTCCAACTCTACGCTCGAGCGGCACTCAGACAACCCCGCTCGAGTGGCCAATCCCACGCTCGAGCGTACAACGCTGCACAGAAAAAAAACTGAATGGGTGTAATCCCCGCTCGAGCGCCAACACCTCCGCTCGAGCGGACAGGCCAAAAATCTGGGCTCGAGCATACAGGCCAAAAATCTGGGCAACTAGTTTTGGTTTCTATACTCAACCAACCTGTAACAAACCCACTCAACACATCCTATAACTCAAATACAACGTAAGAAAGGATGTAAACAAGATAATGAACAACTACCAACATCCACGGACACATGTCCGGATCACTATACAACAAGGGTAAATCCGGGATCGCTATAGTACCAATATCGACAAACACAAAAATATATTAATAATAATAATAATAATGTACGAATTGATATTTAAAATCATAGGAAATACAATGAAGTTAGAAAAACCTAATGACTGTTGCTGACTAGAGAAGCGGGTTATGCGTTTGTAGGTTGCTATTCGAATTTGTCACTATGTTGTTGGCACCTAAAGAGGTGAGACAATATATTCACTACCTTCTCTAATGATATTTTTGTAACAATAATTTTGCATAGCTCAAAAATTAATTAAAACAATTTTTAGATGTATAGATTAGATTCATTTTAGATGTGACCCATCACACTTTTATTATATGCATATAAATTTTAGGCCAAATTATACCTGATGGTCCCTGTAATTTTTCAAATTATATTAATTTAGGGAGGGGAGAGGGGGGTCACAGGGGAGGTCGGAAATGGAAGTCGGGGTTAGGGCTAAGCTTGATGCTAGGGCTGGGGAGGGAATAGGTGCAACATAGAGCGTTGGCTGTTAGAGATATGGTTTGTAGGGTATGGAGAAGAAGACAACAGGGACAAAAATTCCTTATGCAAACACAAGGGTAAAAATGTCATTTTACAACACTCTTTGAATTTCATTTAAAAATGAAAAATCATTCCAACTCTTGAAATTTGCGCATTTGTGACAATTTCAATCAATTTGGACGAAAAATATAATGATTTCACTTTTGTCCAAAATCTTAAGGGAGATCTTTGGCTACCCTTGAATGATAAAAGGGTAAAGTGCTACGATGCCAGACCACATGGGTTTAAATTGAATTTTTCCCTAATATTTATAATCACCATATCAATATTGAGAAATCAAAAAATCTAAACGTATCAATTGGTATACTTAAATGTATCAATATCAAGAAACAAAAAAATCAACATATATGAACCAATATAATACATATCGTTCAATATTTAAAATCATAGGAAATACAATTAAGTTAGAAAGACCTGATGATTGTTGTTGACTGTAGACGGTATTGTGCAGCTGAGGGCTGATGCTTGGGTTTCTCACTACGTTGTTGGCACCTGAAGACATGAGATAATATATTCACTACATTTTTTAATAATATTTTTGAAAAAATAATATTGCATAGCCCAAAAAATTACTTCAAAATAGATGCTCTATTTGATTTGATTTGATTTTTCAAAAACTATTTTTAGACAAATTTTCTTTTGCCTTTAGTTAACTTTTTTCATATGTAAGTTAATTTTTTTAGTTTATCTTACTTTCTTTTTTTTTCTTTTTTTTAAAAAAAAAAAGACTAAATTATGCAAAATGTTGACTATACACAAGAAAACCCGAACAAAAACATGTTTTGGGAGGATCATGACGAGGGGGCTGGGAAGGGGAGAAGGGGATCATAGGGGAGGTCAGAATTGGGAGAGGGGATCAAGGCTAGAGCTAGGAAGGGAACAGGGGCGACACGGAAAGGCTAGTTATTAGGGTTTGTAGGGTGTGGAGAAGACGACGACGACCAGGGCAAAATTTCATTATGCAAATACATGGGTAAAAATGTCATTTTACAACATTATTTGAATTTCATTTAAATGAAAAATCATTCCAACTCTCGAAATTGGCGCATGTATGACAATTTCAATCAAATTTGGATGAAAAATGTAATTAAACCGCATAGGAGATCTTTGGCTATTTTTGAAAGATTATGCAATAAAATGCTATGGGGCCAAACCACAAAAGGGTAAATTGGATTTTGCCCTAATTTTTATTACTACCATATATAATTGGAATGTATGAAACCGAGAAACGAAAAGATCAACATGCATCAACCAATATAAGACATATCGTTCAAATAATTAGGTATTGCTTGGTAACGTTTACGTTTTTAGTTTATGTTTACAAAAATTTTATAAACTGGTTTTTGTTTATTTTTAAAAAAAAACATAAATTACAAATGCGTTTGGTTTGAACAAAATGTTTAAAAAAATTTAAAATCATAAACTAAAAAATAAATTTGTTCAGACCTAAAATATTTATATTTATTTTTTTTATTTATGACAATGGGATCACACACATTATAATTGAAAAAAAATTAATTAAAAAAAAATATTTGAAAAAAAAATTAATTGAAAAAAAATTAATTAAAAAAATAATTGAAAAAAAATTTAATTGGGAAAAAAATATTTGAAAAAAAATTATTTAAAAAAATTAATTGAAAAAAAAAAATTAAAAACTAAAAACGTAAACTCATTTTTTGAGTTTACATTTTTTCCTCAAATTTATAAATTGAGACAACCATTTATAAACCAAGAAAATTATCAGACAAGTTTTTATGATAGTTTTTTAAATTTTGTAAATATAAACTAAAAACAGAATGGTTACCAAACAGGCCCTTAAACTCATAGGAAATACAATGAAGTTAGAAAGACCTGATGACCGAAGCTGACTCGAGAGATTGTTGTGCGTCTGCTGGGTGGTGCTGAGATTTGTCACTACGATGTTGGCACCTAAAGAGGTGAGATAATATATTCACTTCCTTTTTTAATGATATTTTTGTAACAATAAGATTACATAGCCCAAAAAATACTTAAAAACCAAAAAATTTAGATATATAGATTAGATTTATTTTAGATGTGGACCATCACACTTTTCTAGTCTACATGCAAATAATTTTTAGGACAAATTATACATATTGTCCCTGCAATTTTTCAGATTGTATCAATTTAGTTCAATCGATAATATTCATTAAGAAATTGAATAGACATCTAGAGCAAAATAGTTCGTTCCAGAAAGAAATGGACCATTTCAAATTGGATGCCAACCTCTCTCGTGAATTGACTATTTTACTCTATGAATTCAGTCCAATTTCTAAATGTTGTTATGAATTAGACTAAATTGACATAATGTGATAAAGTCAAGGTAAAATCAATGCAATTAGAATTACAAAAACCAAATTTATATAAGAGGCAAACGACAAGGACAATGAGTGTATTTCACCCTAATTTTTATTACCATTAGCAAAATGAAGTGTATCAATATCAAGACATAAAAAAAGTCAATATGTATCAATCGATAAATGTATCAATATCAAGAAAATTTAAAACTGAAATGTATAAGTTGATATAATACATATCGATTGATATTTAAAATCATAAAAGTGAATACAATGAATTAGAGAGACCTGACGACTGATGCTGACTATAGCTAATGCCCTGTGTCTGCGGGTTGCTGCTTGTTATTGCCTCTGGTCCATTGGCACCTAAATAGGTGAGATAATATATTCATTATCTTTTCTTATGATATTTTTGAACAATAATATTAGACAGCCCAAAAAAATTACTTTAAAAAAAATGTCAAAAATAAATTTTTTGAAACGTGAACTAAATTTATTTTGGATGTGATTTCATTACACTAAATTCAAATTTACACCGCAAACTTTATTTTTTAATAAATTTTCACATTAGTTTTTAGACTCCCTAACTTTTTCTTTTTTGTAACTACTAGCCAGTAGACACAAACTTGTCCACATTTTCATTAAATAATAAATAATATTAGAATTATTATAATTTTTATTATATTTTTTATTTTGGATGTGGCACAATCACTATTCCAATGAGTCTCACAATAATTTAATTAATATTCAATCATTATGTGTCTACCACATCAAACAATAAACAAATTATAATAAAAAATATGTTAAGGGTAGCATTAATCCAGACAATAAGAAAGGAAAATATAGCTTCTCTCTCTCTCATTTTAAGAAACATCATTCATACATACTAAGGAAGAAATAAAGATAAATAAGCCCATCATGTTCTGGTCCGTGATGTTTTACATATTTTTTTTGTTTTTTTTTAAACAATCGGTCACTACAAAAAATTAAAATTTTAAAGACCAAAATTTAGGAACAAAATTATTTTTTAGGGGCCAAACAATTTTGTTGCAAAAAGTGTCATTATATTTTCAGCAACAAAAATTAGACATTAGTGATGAATTATTATCTTTTTGAGACCAAATTTTTTATCCAAAAAAATAAACTATTTTGAGACCAAATTATTTTGTCCCTAAAAATCTATTTATTAGTGACATTTTCAAAATTTTGTCGCTAAATGCCTTGTTTTTGGCTTTTCTTGATAACCTTTTAGCTACTATCCTCATGACGATGGAAATTGGTCCCTAAATATCTTTTGCAACAAAATTTTCACTTTTAAAAACCAAAACATTTGGTTTCTAACATAGTGGGTAGAAGAGGTATAGGAGAAGGCAAGTTGCACTCCCAACAATAAGACCAATGTAATCATATCACTTTACTAGAGACAAATATATGAGACCAATGAGCAAAATTAATCAACCACTTTGGAGAAAACAAAACATAATCAAAGCAAAAATTCATCTTAGCATGATATATAGTAAAGGTCTCAGACATGTAGGATCAGTTTAAGGTAGGATTTCTATCGATCAACCTAGGTTTTGTTAATGTGATTAATATTAAATTAAACTAAACTAAAATGTGATTAATATAAAATTAGTATTATGAAAGATGTACAATTATTTTAACAATAATACTATGATAACTATATTTTTGTATCATGTTTTGCTTAACATCTCATGTGTGTTAATACTGCATTGGTAATAAACATGAGTGATAAAATCCATTAAACTAATACAATGTTGACAAATAAGATGGTAAACCAATTGTGAAAAGAAACCATGATTATCCTAACATTACCAATATTTTAAATTTCATTAATAAATAAATGCATTTGTGAACCTGTCTGCAGCTGCCGCTCGAATTCCTTAACTTCATTACTGTTTATGAAAACATTCCACATCTCTGCTTTAGTTACTATACGCTTGACCAAATCCTACATGTCCGTGCTTCATAGCATTACACTTAAGATGTTCAGAGACTCCAAACTCAAGTTGGTTAAGTTCTATCCTCCTTGAGTTTGCGGGGGGCTGTTAAAATATGTTAGTATTATATGTTAGTGATGCTAGTGGTATCATTATGTTTAGTTTGCTTTATGCTTTCGGTGCCTCAATTGGCACCCAATGTTGGCTTTCTCCTCTCTATAAAGAGAGTGTAAATCTCTTTGTAAACAATACAATAATCTTGTAAAATACAAATCAATCAATAATATACATCAATTTATTTTTACAGTTACGTTGTTTAAAACCTTGGTTGTGAGTGTACCTCATATCATTAATTGCTACTCGTCATTGAAAGCATGGTGTCTTGTCCAAGTGATTTATCAAAAGAAAAAAAAACAATAGTCTTGTCCAAGTGGGAAATGGATCTTGTCCAAGTGCAAGAGAAGAACAATTGTCTCAAATTACTGATTATGAGCAGAATAAGGCACCTGAATGGGCTTGACTCTGTTCATCAATTCAAAAGCTTTTTGAATAGTCATTCCTTCAACAGATTGCAGCTTTCCTTGACCATCAAGGCTTGAAATCAATGGAAGTGAACCGACTTTTGATCCGGCGTCAGATTGCAAAAAACTACACGAGGTGTCATATGATAGATAGGATTAAGATCAGATGCATTCATATCCAAACTAGGCAAGGGAACCCAAATCAACTAGTGCAAAACAAAATCACAATCCGAAACATTTCTTGTATTCTGTGAATGTATAAAAAGTTGTGCATATATATGTAAGTAAAATACGTGAACTATTGAAAAAGATGACAAGTCTAAATCATGAAGCACTAGAGTACAACTAGAAGAAAGCCTAGATCATGTACTGATATTCTATTCTCTCCAGAACTCTTCTATTTCACTCTCTTTGGTATATTGTGATACTTTGTTTCTCTCCCTTTGCTATATTGTAACACTTTGCATTAAAAAGGGGCAATAATGCTTTGATGATCACATTTGTATTCCACAAATGGGAAAGTGTTGCAGAAAGTAAAGAGGTTGGAGGATTGGGAATCAGAAAAATCAGGGAAATGAATTGAACGTCTTTTGATGATATGGTGGTGGAGATTTGGCACACAAGGGAATGCTTTTTTGAAGAGAATTATCTGCAGCAAATCAGGCAATGTGAACAACTCCTGGCTTCCTTTTGGCACATCTTCATACAATTCATCCAGGATTTGGAAAGATATCACTGCAATGGAAGGTAGGTGCCCTACTTTGTTTAATTTCTTTGTGTCAAATATTGAGTGTTCTTTGGATGATGGTAGTGTTAGAAAGGTCAGTGCTGTATGGGAAGTGATTGCATTTGCAATTTTGTGGACAATTCAGAAGGTTAGGAACAAGCTTGTCTTCGAGGATACACAACCCAATTGGAATCTCAACCCAATTGGCATTTTGCGTCAAGAACTAAGCAAAATTTAAGCACATCAACTTCCAAACTTTATGTTGCTTCTTTCAACATTTTATCCTTTAATAATTCTAATTCCTCACTTCTTAGATTTCACCATTTGTTTTTCAATTTTGCACATTCTATGAAAACAATATTTTTTCTACCTGTCTTTAAGATGCTTCATTACAATTATTACTATGTCATTTCTATGTATCTTTTCCAGTATGGCAAATTTTAGGGGTGAACACCTACACTGAACAAACCGACCGGTTTTCGGTCTGTTTTCTGCACCACCAAATAATCAGTCTGTGTTGAGATTTTTTTTTCCTGAAATTCGATTCAGTGTTTGGTTTTGGAGATTTCACGTCAAACCGAACCGAATCGAATTTACTGATTATGCCGAATTTACTGAACATTCAAATAATATACCAGCATTACCTCTTACTATTGTTTAATTTGATATTTGATAAATTAGTCTGGTGCAATTACGTTGTTGTTTGTTGCCTTATATCTTAATTAGAATGATATTTAAAAAAAAAAAAAAAATGAAGGTAATTATTTTATTTTTTTTAAACAAATGCCCAAACCGGTAAACCGCACCGAACCAAACCGAAATCGAATTTACTAGTCCAGTCCGGTTTACATGTTTTGGTCGGTCTGGTCGGTGCTATTAGTGTAGAAATCCGATTTTACCGGTTCTATCTAAAAAATGCAAAACCGGACCGATTTCACACCTAGTAAATTTTATACACAAATTTCATTAACTTTTTCTTCTACATCATTACTACATTGTTACACTTGTAAACATTCTATATTCTTTTCTTCTAATCATAATATTTACTAATTTCATGGTTTTACCTATTAGTGTTCATATATTCAACATTGGTAATCTATACCTACAATCCTAGACTAATTTCTTTACCTGCGCTAGTTTAGTAAAAACCCTTGCCTTCTTTTTACTACACTCAAGCGCTGATGTGGTGCCCCTTGCCCATTTTTTGAAACGCTTAAAGGAAGGAGCAATGAGTTCCTTACAAATTTGTATAGGAATGCAAATCGATCGGGCCAAGCTTTGGGATGCTGGATCTTGGCTTGTTGAAAATTTGTTAAGCTCAAGATTGAGTTGAGCTTAAGTGGAGCTTAAAAAAATCATGCTCAAGCTTGACTCATCTAGTATTTGTGAAACTCAAGCTTGGCTCGAGTCACTCGATTACTTAAAAGAGCCAAGGTCAAGCTTGAGCATTGAAGGAAAATTAAAACTTAAATTAACATGCAAATTAAGAGGAAAAAAGAAGATTACGTGCAAAATGTAAGTAATAGCAAAAACTCCAAACATAAATACCGAAATAAATTAAATTCATGAAAATATATTATTAAAAATGAATATTAATTAATATAGCATTTGTGTTCACGAGCCTACATTAGGCACGTTTTGGTCTACTTGAGCTCAAATTGATTAATAAATGAACCTAAAAATTTTGCTCGAACTCATTCATTTAGTAAACAAGCCATATACAAAAGAGCTTTAAATGACCCAAGCTTGAGCTATTCATGAACTACTTGATTCGTTTGTAGCCCTATTTATAGGTAATACCTTAGCAGTTATTTGCATATTCAGGGATTTTCAAGCTACACAACCCTCTTTATCCAAACATGGGATAAAAATGAAACACTGAGCACGACACATGTGGATTAATAAGTAGAGAAAGAACATTGATGAATATTATTTTGCCCTTCATAGATAAGTTGTAAACATAAAACTACACAAATAAATAAATAAAGCCCACATAAGAATACTTCCTAACCCAATATTTTTGTACTAACTTACCTTGTAAACCCTGAGATCGCTAAGTCAACTTCATATCCAGATGGAACAGAAAGTGGTATGCGGGATATGGCTGGAATCTGAAAGTTAGCCTCAGAAGAAGTTGATGCTTCCATGGCTGTTTTAACAATACAAAACAAAATGTAACAAAGTTCACCATGAAATATATCGTAGCGAGATCCTAACATATATATAACAACTAAAAATTCTATTAAGTTCAACTGGACATGAATTTTCCTTAGTAAAGTTATGCAAAATTGGCGTTATATGGTCTCCTAAAATTTGATTAAAAAATAAAGTACCGAAGTAGTATTAGGTTAAAAAATTTATTAAAAAAAAAACTAATGCAATGCATTTTCCTTTGTTAATGGTTTACCACTAAGTAAATGCCATATCAACTAAAATGTGTTCAACTGTGAAATTCTCTCCATTCCAGTTGTTTTGTCTCTTTTTAGAATTGATATCCATCAAGTTTCCATTTTTAATCCAATAGATGATAATAGTTAAATTTGACTCATGTGAATACAATTTGGGTTTTGTAGTTGTCTCATTTTTAAAAATTGATGCTATATAATTTATTGTTTGGTTTATTTTTATGAAATTTTAGTTAAAGGTTGTCGATCTTTTTTTTCTTTTCTTTTTTTAAATCAAAGCATCATTCTCTATCTAAACACCTTGAGACCTATGTGCAACAGTTATCTTTCGCATTAGAGTTCCAGTAATAAACTTTATTTCATGAGGGTTAAACTATTTGTTCCTCAATTGTGCACAAAAATATATTTTTCTGTAACTGATAGTCCTTTTAGTAGCATGTGCTATTTTTGCATTGTTAATTATATCACATATTATGTCACACCCTGGATATCTAAACCTAATGAGATGAACTAAAACAAGGTAAGTCAATACCTAAAAAGCCAAACCAATTGAAGAAGTTCATGATTACGTTAGGGTTTAATAACCCAAAATACGGTTCCAATTTTGAAACTTGCAAACTTGTTATTTAATCATGATTAAAATTCCATTTTATTTGACAATCATCTAAACATGTTGACAATGTTTCCAACTTTTAAAATTTCATAATAAAATTCATCTTTTCCCAAACAAAACATAAGCATTAAAATAAAGCCTAACCTAAGCATTCACTTTCAAAATCATTTTAGAAAATTATAAAGCATGTGAGCACATAGACAAGCACTAATTCATATACTTCATTATTTTCAATAAAAATGTCACTTACTTGACATCCAATCTCCCAAAATATCATCCAAAGCATATTAATCATGTGAACTTACACCTTTAATCATAAATCAAATACTTTACAAAATTTATCTAAAATAAAGTTTCAAAGGTACATGGCTTTAAAAATAAAGCCCTAATCTACCAAAATGTATAGAAAAGTTATACATTTCAATAGCATGGCATAAAACACCTAATACCTCAAAATTTTCATTTTACATCATGGTTGTCAAAATGGCAATGCACATCGCAGGATCGTAAGATTCTATATTGTCAAAACGATCCAAATCAGTGTTATAGTAGGATCGCAAGTAGGATCGTGTGGGATAGTGTAGGACTTGTGATTTTTCACCTTATTTTAATATGTATCATCCTTATTTGTATTTTTACCTTATTTTTAATAGGAGGTACAATCTTATGATCTTCGATCCAATCCTACGACCCGAAGATCATCCAATCCTACAACCCGATCCAATCCAATCCACAATACCCTCACGCGGATCTTATGTAGAATCTCGATCTTAACAACCATCTAACACAAGGTTGTTAAAATCGGGATCTTATGTGGGATCTTTGGGAGAGAGTCATGAATCAGATCATAGAATCAGATTGAGAATTGTAAGATTCTAATTTTAATGCAAAATAAAGTGAAAAATTATTTGTAATAATAATGTATGCAAAATAATTTTAAAATCATTAAAAAAAATGATAATTTGATATAAGGCATCTTCTATGCTAACATTTATTAGAGGAGATGCTTCAAGAGGGATTTATGGCAGAATTTTTCATATGGACATACATATGTAAGTAATAAATACCAACAATTTTTTTTTGGTTGTAATGGGATAGTAGTAGAATCATGATTGTAGTATGATTTCACAAAATTTAAGATCCTAATGTCATCCGGATTGTTTGGCTCAATTGGGGTTATACAATTTAAGATCCTAATGAGATCCGGGTTGTTTGGCCCAATTGGGGTGATACAATTGTAAGATCCTACGATCCGCATGGTGATTATGATAATCAGCCATACTCTAACATGCCATTCAAGATAAATTAATTTTGAGTACTCCTTTTTTCATGGACTTTGAAGATAAAACACCCTAGGCATGGCATCTAACAAGTAGTAGCATCAAACATCCCATTTTCATGATTTTTTAAAATTACCTAATATTGAAAATAAAATACATACATGGAACATCACAAAATTCCTCATCCAAGAACAAAATACTTTTAAAACATACCTACATTTCACCAAATTTCACACCCATTTTCCCTTACCCTTTCCAAATCACTTTCCAAATCTCCCAACCAAATACAGCCAACCAAATACAGCGTAAACGTGTTTACTTTAGAAAATCCTACCCTTCAATTTTTACCACAAAATCAAAAGAGATGAAATGAGAGGATTGAGTTTTACCCAAAAAAATAGAGAAGTCCTCCCAGTGAACTAGACTTCAAGAGAGCTGCTTCTTCTTCAATGATCACAGAAGCACCAAGAGGGGCATTTGGGTTTTGAGTGTACAAGTGAGGAGAGCCTAACCGTTTCAAGTCTTTCAACTCAAGAAGACAATGCCAAGTTCACTTGATGAAGGGTCTTTGCCTGAGAAAAAATGTGAAACAGAGAGACAGCTTTTCGTTTGCAAAAGACAAAAAAGCAAAAGACAAATCATTAAAATCAAAGTCTAGTCAAGTTAAAGCTACGAGGAAAGGAAGAATTATTAGAAATTTTAGAGACAAATTATAATAAAATAATAAAATAAAAATAAAAATTTTTAATTTTTAATTTTATCAATTTAAATTTTAATATTCTAATTTGTTTTCAATCTAAATTATATATTTATTTTTGTTAAATGTCTAAAATATTATTTTTATTAATTTTAATGATTGAAATATCTATTTTTATTGATTTTAATGATTGAAATATTTTTTTAAAAAATGAAAAGTTTTCCAAGTGAACTAGACTTCTAGAGCTGCTTCTTCTTCAATGGTCACAGAAGCACCAAGAGGGGCATTTGGGTCTTAAATGTACAAGTGGGGATAATCTAACGCTTTCAAGGGTGCCTCTATTTACGCACCAGTAATTTACGGGACCATCTATTTACAGACACCAAATACTCTTTTCGCACATCCTTCTCACTACACACACCAAAAAAATTAATTCCTAATTAGTTTACTCACTACACACATAGTTCATTCCACATCTACCCTCACACACACACACACACACCCCCGACTCCAAACCCAGCTACACACACCCATTGAAGCTGAGCTCCATCTTCAACCTTGAGGATATACACACCCATTGAAGCTTACTGTGTGCAAATACATTGAAGCATTCCATCACATAGAAGCTTACCGCGTGCAACCCAGGTGTGCAAATACATTGAAGCATTTCATCCACCAAGCTGCATCCCATTGAAGCATTCCATCACATTTTCAATCCTCATTAGGTGAGTTTATTTTTGAATCATCATTCCTATTTAATTTGCAACGTAGAGTTTTGTTTTTTTCATTTTGAAAACGAACGAAGACCCACGGATCGTGAACAAACCGTTCGGAACTGGGTTTCCGAAATTGAGGAATTTGTTCGGAAGTAGGAATCCGAAATTGATGATTTATTTCAATAGTCGATTTCCGAAACTTTTTGATTATTTTGTCAGTCAACTTCCGAATACATTAAATTCAAACAACAATCAACTTCCGAAATTAATTTTTTGTTTCAGATTTCAACTTCCGAACAGTATATATATTTTCGGATTGCAACATCCGAACAGTGTTTTTTTTTTTTTTTTTCTCCCTTCTTTTGTGTATTATTTTTACATTTGTGGTAATCTCAATATTTTGAGCATCCATGGTAATACTTTTGAATCATTATTTTTTTTTTTAATTTTATTTTGTTTGGGTATATTAATTTTTGCAGAGAATATGGATTTTAAATATCAACAACGTGTCTCACCTACTGCTTCAAATAGACGACATCGTGAATTGGATGTTGACCATGAACGGGGACAAGGGCGTGGGCGAGGACGAGGTCAAGGTCGTGATCCAGTTTCGGTAGAATATGATATCCCCAGTGCCAGTCAAAGTAGAAGCCGAAGCCAAAGACAAGTTGAAGGTGATGATATGCCTGACATTGCTGTGGAGGACGCCTTTTTACCGGACATTGACATACAGTTGTAGGCCTAGGCGTAGGCATACAGCTGATTCGTGACATGTTATTTGCATGTTGATGAATTTTTTTTGGTGATTTTTGTAAGATGATATTGTTGTAATGGTAACAGTGATTAACATTTTTCTTATTACAATGGAATGGCAACAATGGTATTGTAATGACATTATAATGACATTTTATTTTTAGAATGGAATGGTAACAATGGTCGTTGATTTTGTAAGTGATATTTTCTTATTATCAAACATTTACATTTGGTGAGCAATTCGAAACATAAAATCCATGTGAATTGAGTAGTGTAATCCAACACAAAATCTGCGCAAACCTGACTTCCTTCATTTGACACATATTCCTACATGTTTTGTATAACATTATAAATTTTTAATGGCATTATAAACATAAATTTGCAATTCGAAACTGTAAATTTAGTTTGCAGTTTGCAAATTTGGAATATAAAATGGGAAAACAAAATTTTACTTCATTCGGAAGTAGTTGTCCGATATTTTTTTTAAATTTCGGAAGTTGAATGTTGTAAAGGTTAACTTTGTTCGGACAACAACTTCCGAATTTAAATACTTTGTTCGGACAACAACTTCCGAAATTAATTACTTTGTTCAGACAACAACTTCCGAAATTAAATAATTATTTCGGTTGTAGATTTCTGAACCAAATAATACAATACAACCCTGGTTATCCGAACGACGCTGGAAAAAAAAAAAGTGATGCTCATTTGGATATCCTTCACAGGCAAATCCGACTCTGCTCATTTCCAACGCAAATTCTCCAGAACAATAATGAATGAAGAATAAGTGATGCTCTGTGAAGGTGAGTCCAACGTGATGGATGACTGGCTTCAGCTTAATGAATGAGTGCTGAACTTGGAGCTTCAACGTGATGGATGTGTGTGCATTGAGACTTTTGAATTGGATAGATGTCTAAAATAGTAATTTCATTTAGGGATAAAATTGTAATAAGATTAAATATCATTAAGTGTGTGCAAAGAGGGTATTTGGTGTGTGTAAATAGAAGCTCCCGTAATTTACTCATTCCACACCATTTTTTAATTACTATTCTGTTCATAAAGAGAATTACCAAAATATCCTCTTCTTCTCTATCTCTCTTTTCTCTCTCCTCCGAAGCCCTAACCAGCAGCTCCTTCTTTCGCCGCCGCCAGTGACTTCCCCATCTCCTGCCGCTGTCAACCTCTCTCCCGCATCCTCCCGCAGCCGCCAACGTCTCTCTCGCCTTCTCCATCCGTCGCAAGCACTCTCCCACAACTTAGATTTCGCGATCTTCTCTTCCGGTAAATCACACATCTCTCGCTCGCTCTCTCTCTCTCTCATGCTTTTGTGGAAGGGGCTTTTGGTGGCGATGGGAAGGAGGTGGAAGATCTATGGTGCCACTGCAAACCCTAGCCGATGCCAGTGATGACACCGCCACTCCACTAGCTTCGTGCCATCCTCTCCACCCCTCTGCGCCACCCTTGCAGCACCTCTCCCGTCAGCTTCCCTCTCCAGCCCCCTCCTTCTGATACCCTTCTCCCACCATTCTTTCCCTTCTTCTTCTTCATTTTCCCTTCGCCTCTGAAACCTTAGATCCGAAGTGGGGGACGTTGAAGGGCAGATCGCAATGGTGGCTTGAAGAAGAGAGGGCAAGGGGGAGGGGCTAACACCGACACCGGCGACAGAGCTGGGTTGCAGGTGGTGGCGGTGGCGGTGGCTGTGGCGGGGTGCGTAATTAAGGATAAAAATGGAACATTGTGTGTACTGAACAAATTTATTATTTATTAAATTATTAAAAGTGTGAATTAAGTATTGGTGTGTCTTGAGATGATATATGGTGTGTAAACAGAGGCACCCGCTTTCAAGTCTTTCAACTCAAGAAGACAATGCCAAAGCTCACCAGATGAAGGGAGGCTCTTCGCCTGTGAAAAAATAGGAAACAGAGAGACAGCTTTTGGTTTGTAACAGACAAAAAAGCAAAGACTTACTATTAAAAAGTCTAAGACTTCAAGAGTAAGTTAAAGCTACGAGGAAAGGAAGAATTATTAGTAGAAATTTTAAAGACAATTTATAATTACAAAAAAAAAAACCTCAAAAATTTAGTCTAAGGCCTCGTTTGGGAACAGGCTAATTTAGTAACTTTTTGGCTATTTGGCTAAAAAGGTAGGTAAAAAAAACTTGTATGTTTGGGATGACTTTTTGACTAATTACGAAAAGATGTGCAAAAAGTAGAGAGAAAAGAGAATCTTTGACTTTTTGGTATGGGTTGTTGGCTTTTTGGCTAATTTAGTAACTTTTTGGCTAATTGGCTAAAATAGCCTCTTGCCAAACGAGGCCTTATAAATTTTTAATTTTTAGTTTTATCAATTTAAATATTAATATTTTGATTTATTTTCATTATAAATCATACGCCTTCTTTTGTTAATTACAATCGATAAAAAAAATTATTTTAATCATTAAATTATATATATAAAATGTCTAAAATATTCTCTTTATCTACTCTAATGATTAAAATATCTATTTTTTTTATTGATTTTAATTAATAAAAATAGAATAATGGTTTAGATTAAAAATAAATTAAAAACTTAAGTTTTAAATTGATAAAATTAAAAATTTAGAATTTATTTTGTTATAAGGCTCAAATCTTAAAAAAAATTTCCTAATTTTTCCAAAATTGTATTTTGTGATATTTTGAGAATTAAAAAATTATAATTTATATTAATCAGATTATTCCTTATCTCCAAACTACTTAACAATGGTAAATTATCATATTTTAAGAACACAATTTTCTATTATATCAGTGGTTCAGATTATTACATAAGTAATGTCATATAATTTTTTGAGATTACTTTAACAACAAGAAAAGAGGGAGGAAGGTCACCAAAGTTTTCACAGTAATGATTCAGACTCTCACAAAACATCACCCCCACAACCCCCGCTTACTTGTAATTGGTCTAAGTAAGAAAAAGAAAAAAAAAAAAAAAACAATACAAACACATCATTGGTCCACATCACTGTGGGAGTGGTGGGGTCTCCCCAAAAGGGTCCCAAACATTTTCCAAGTTTTCATAGGAAGCTTTGCCACATGCCAAGTTGTCGTTGGTCCAAAAAGAATTGAAAATTGGAAAAATAAGAACAAGAAAAAAAAAAAAATGTAGTGTAGCATCACTTTGTAATGTAAAAATGTTAGTTTGATTTAAAAAAATAATAAATTATTAAAAAAAAAAAAGTTTGATACTTCTGTTTGCCATTTGTTAGGTGTGGTTTGGAATCCAATTAAAAAAGTGACATTTTTTTAAAAATTTTTTGCTCTTTAATTGATTTTTTATTTTTTTTTAGTGATATATATTCTAATATTCTAAGCCCACAAGCCTTTGCTTTTTGGACGGCCGAAAGAGAGCAGCATGGGAGTGGTTCCTTAGGCACTATAATAATTAAAGTGAAAGTGGAAGAACAGCAATTGAAATCTAGTTTGCGTTTGGGAGAGTT